TGATCCAATGATGCAGAATTTCTTTTTCCTTTTGACCTTTCCCCAGGAAAGCTTCTAATTTATACATGGAGTAGGTCTCGTTCCTTAAGCCAAAAAAGCCAAGCAGTCTCTGTTGAAGTAGGCACCTCTGCTTTACTGACCAATTTGTGCTCAGCTTAATGAACCAGGATGTGCCTGATTTGATTTTGCCAGAGTTAGCAGCCTAATACATCTGCCTGAAGTATTTACACATTAGGTAGTGGAGATGTGGTTCAGCCAAAGGCTCTCTGGGAGAGTGGGATGGAAAGGCCCCAAATTAGATTTGCCTCGAGCTACTGTGGCAGCTCGTGTAGACAGAGATGAATTTTGAACCAAAGGAAGCCAAAGTGATTTTGTTTAACCGTTTTCCTCACTTTTAAATAAGCTGGCGTATAATATCACAATTTGTTTTGGTTTTCCTCAATGAAAATTCTGAAGTCTTTAACAGCTGACAAGGAAGTTTTATAGAGGTTATTTGGAGGTTAAAAAAGCCCCAAATCTCACTGGTTTTAATATCTTTTAACCACCATGCATTCAGTTCTAAGAAAAAAATAGTATTATAACTTCACAGTCAGCATCATTATTCTGCTTCTTTCTGATCTTAGTGCTATTTTGTCTACTCAGCTGAGCTAAAAATTGTAAAAAAAATCAGCCATACACATCTCATTTAAATGTGAGTATTGTCTGTAATTTAGACGGGTATTTGATAATGTATATTGTGTGAGATAGGGTTGGGACAATGTGTATTATTTATTGAGATTCCTTGTACATCCCAGATTTTGGAATTGTGAGAATTATTATGGAACACAAAAGGTGGAGATTATCGGCATGCTTTGTAATGAACACGAAGGGGGAAAATCCCTTATGTTTCTTATTACATTTGGATGGCCAGTGCTTTTATTTTTACTAAGGTCCTGTTTCCTTTGATGCCTATTCAGCTCTGTTTTGTTTAATGAGATAACTTCTTCAGTGCATGTTCTCTATCACTTATTTAACAGGATATCTGTTTTCTGTGTTGTCCTTTGAATCAGAAAGCAGTTTAATTGTTCATTTTGGGTGGGGCTGTGAAATGGGGACGGGATGTACCCTTGGGTTGTGTTTCTTTCTGAGGCTGCTGGGATTTCGGCGAGGGATTGTTATGTCCAAATTCAGGTTTGTTTGGGTCTCAGTGAAGGGACATCTCCTTTGAATTTTCCTCCTTTCATATTTTTATGCCCTTATGCAGTTAAATATACAAAGTGCAGCCCTTTTCTACAAGATAGATGAAAAGCTGTGCTGGAGTCAGCTGCACCCCGGCTGCTCTCAGCTTTTGTTTGGAAAGGGGCTACATCCTGATGTACCTCATTCTGTTAAAATAGAGTGAATTTGGATCAAGTTGACTGAAGATGCATTATCTGCCTCGTGTGTTGTGGCTGGTAAATAGCTGGTTCCTGTGGGAAGCACCTAAAAAGGTTGAGGGTCTTTGGTAGCACATAAGTTCTTTAAACAAAGTTTGATCACAGCAAACTCTAGCATCAGTCTTCGAAGAAGGATAAAAGAGAAGGAAGAGATTCAGACAGTTTTTTCCTTTTGTAAACTGGCTGCTTTATAGGGGAAAAAATAGCTGGAAATAGCCTGTCTCGTCCCAAATGAAAGGTTGTGGATTAAGGCATTGCATTAGTGAAACAGCTGCACCAATGTGAAACAGAAAGTCCTCCAGCTTCAGCCATTATGGGTTTGTTTGGTTAGCTCTAATTTTGGAAGTCATTATAGCAAAGGTAAATGACTTGCACAGGAGACTACTGTCAACAAAAGACTCGATACATTTACTTTGGCAGGAGCCTTGAGGAGTCTCAGGCCTTTCAGTGCTTCCTTTATGCAGCTCCTGTCCTGCTCTCACTGTGTGCCTGTGTGCAGGCAGCTCTCCCTCTCTCCCTGCCTCCCCTCCCACAAGTTCTTTGCCCCTGGCAGGTCGGATTAAGGGTGGCAGCACCTGCTGCTGAATTGCTGGGGTGTAGCTGTAGAATACCTTCATGTTGAGAGTAGCTGCCCCTGGGCTTCTAAAGCTGCTGTGTTCTGCTCAAGTGAGAATCTGCTCCCTCGCAGTCTAGTACTGGAATACAGTCTGTATCAAAAGCTTCACTTCTAATGGTGTCTCCTTATTGATTGGTGTTTGTCTTTCTTATTTTATCATTTAATAGCTTTACACTTGTAGATTCTCAGCATGCTGATGCTTAGCTGAGTTTTCTAGCTTTTTGGTGAAGATTAAACTGTGAGAATAATTTCCTTCTCAGGCCTGTGCCCGTGTGGTTGAGTGAAGGCTCAGAGTGTCCATTCCACACTGACTTACACTTGTATAGGTGGGGAGGCAAATTCCTGAATGACAGAAGGAGTGCCCCAGCAGAGCCTCCTCCTTCCTCCCACAGAGCCTCTTGGGAACATTTCCTAGGGGCCTGGCAGAGCTTTCCTTGCTCTGTAGAGCTGGGGGCATGAAGGAGAGGGGCAGGGTGAGAATCCTCTCCCTGTGCACTCAGTTTGTCTGTCCTGCACTCCCTGGCTGCTGGGTGACCCAGAGCTCCCTTTGCAATGCCTGCCATGGGTAACTTCTGACGGCTCTCCCTTCCCAGCTGTGGGGAAGTGCTTTCAGTCACTGAATATTTGTTCAGGCAGACTTCTAAAACATATGGGGCAGACTACTGTTAAGTCTTTTATTTAAAATACAAGATGGTTATGCTGCCTCTCCAAATGACAAGAAGCCCATCCCTGCATGTCCTCACACACATTTTATGCCCATTGCTGCTGGTCATTCTGATAAATAACCAGTACCAGAGGAAGTGTAAGGTCATTTTCTTGTGCTGCTGTAGAGGAGAGGATTATCTTTATCTCTAAGATTGTTCCCTTAGTGCTTATTAACTAGAAATACAGTAATTGAGAACCTGGTAGGAAAAGATTTTGTCTGATAATAGCCTTGATCTCTAAAATGGAGTATAACTACATAATAATTACACACTCAAGTGTTTGACTGGTATGACTGATATAAACTAGCCAACCATGGAATGGCATGCCTGGAAAGAGGTTTTATTTCAGATTAATTTAATCTCATGCTGTATATACACCATGGTTTTGCTTTCAGGTCAGGCAATTGATTCTGAAGAAGAAGATGTGGGTTTAGCTGCATGAACTCTTTTGAACTTCCTTCCACCTGCAGGGTCTTTGAATGTCAGGAGAAGCAGACAGATTTGGTATTTTGCTCCAATGTCTTTAAAAAACCTGAAATATTACTAGAAAAATCTCTTAAAGAGGAAGATCCTTCTCTCCAGCTTATTGGGGGAAAATGCAAAAGATGCATCTCTTGGAAAGGCCAGGACAGTGTTTTGACTTACTAGTAAAATGCAGAAGTAATAAAACACAGATTTTTTTTTTCCTGTGAGGAGGTGACCTAATGTCCTCATGTCCTTCTGTGTAAAGCTTAATGATGAGGTTTGCTTACTGCCCCCAATATTGACTATGAACTCACTGGCAAGTGCAACAGTTTTGGCTGCACAGACTTGTTTTAAATTTCCAGTGTGAGGTTCAGCCTGGAATTTCAGGGGCAGTGATGTGTGGCTGTCAATAGAACAGAAACTCTTGGAGAAATGAGCAACTGTGAAGTTGTGTATGCTGATCCCAAAATGCTCCATACACTGCATCCATCAGGAAGTGGGCAAAAGGAGAATGTAGCTCTTAAAAATGAAGAACCAAGATAATTTACAGCAAAGGTCTAATTGATATCTAAAATTGAAGACCTGTGAATTTAATATCATGACTTTTTCATCAAACAGTAAGGTTGTATTACTGCATTTCTAGAAGTTTATGCTTGTGGAAATTAGTGTGTTCTTGATATTTTATGATATGCTATTCCTCTTAATTAATGGCTATTGTAGAGGATGTTTTATGTCCTTTCTACATGCTTCAGGTGTAACGTTCTCAATAAAATTGACTGTGAAGATAGTCTTGTTTTATTTTAAAGAGTAATTTTGCCAACTCTGCCCAGATTTGTTGAATTTAGTAAACACTCCAGGTAGGTACTAAGAGCTCTGGCATTGGCAGGGAGGTCTGAGGGAACTCCCACTGTGCTTTCTGCCTCTCACCCCCAAACCTTTGCATAAATATGGAAGTGTGTGCAGTCCCAGGAGCTCAGTCTCACTGCTCCAACTGTGGGGGGCTGAGAGGAGGCGCTTCGGGGTGTCCTTAAATTCTGGTACTTGAAAGAATCTAGATTTGTTCTTCTAAGCTCAGACAAAATTGGGTGTGTGTTATGGCAGGACCTGCCCTTGGGCTCCCTGTGACAGGGCAGGGAGGGCAGCGTTGTGTTCTTGTCTTCTTCAAACTGCACAGGCCAGAGAAGGCTCAGAAAGGGATTATTTAAGTCTGTGAGGGAGTACAGCTGCAACTGGAGGAATTTGCTGTTTAAGCCAGTTTCTTTTTCAGAGTTTCTGTTGCTATAGTCACCTTATTCCTAGCAGAACTGCTGGAAAGGATGGAAATGGAAAGAAAAAATTGGCCAGTTCCTTGTGCATTCCTTGTGCAACAGGTGCAGTTTTCATTTGTAAGCACAGACTGAGCAGAATCTCCTTCCATGCCCAGAGAATGCCTGCAGGCAGCACCTTCCACAAGGTTCTTCTTCCACAAGAACATGGGATTTCTGCATTTCATATCTCCTGGAGACATGCCAAGCAGAATTTAATTGCTTGTGGTGCAATCTTTCTCTGTGGCTAGATAGGATATTGAATGCTTTTGAACTCCTGAATTGCCATGGGATGGCCTGATCTGGAGCAGTTGTGTTTAATCTGCAGCCAGATAATGAAAGATGCTCCATCACACAGAGCTCTGTGATGCACTTCTTTGTTTTGTAGATACGAGACTTCACTGGAGGGGGAGGGAGGGAGCTCCTGCAATAACACACACGTTTGTTTTTCTGTTTATAAATTGACAGGTGTTTGGTTTGTCTTGTGTCTGCCCAGGAAACCACGTCCTGTCTCCTGGAGAGGCTGTTGGGAAAGGTCTGACAGCGGGCGCTGCGGAAGAGCTCGGGCTCCCCGAAGGGATTGCAGTGGCAGCATCTCTCATTGATGCACATGCTGGAGGACTAGGTACTCACTCATGGATTCACTGCTTTTGGAGACAGGATTGTTGAATTCATTTCAAAAAGCCATTTTTGACACAGACTGTTTTTATCCAGCCATTTGCTCTGATGGTATTCTTAAAAACAACCCCAAATCATCACAATAACTACCAGCACTGCAAATCTGTTTCTAGAAAGAGGATATATCACTGCTATATGTCTTTTCAGCTGGATTTGCAAATTGTTTGTTAATTTCTGCCAGTTCCACTTTTGACTGAAACACCGTGGTGTTGGAATGCCAACATGCTGAGAGTTTGCATCTTCTGTTGCTCAAAACTTTGGGGATAGGCAAGAATAAAACACAAACAACCATTCTGAGGGACAAGCCTCATGTTTAAGGCTTGTTCATAGTTAGGATTCTTATTACCTTTAGAAGTGATTCATGATTCAAAGCTTTAAGGTCTGGTGCTTTGACTTTTTTTTATTTTCCAGCACAATATTCTTACATTCAGCCCTGGTTCATCTTTTCTGAAATACATTTGATGAGGCCAAACAAGTTCATTTTCCTACTATGCTGTTTGGCCTTGTCCAAATACTGTCAATAAGAGATTCAGTATAACTTTCTCAGCAGGAAATTGAGGGTTTTTTAGTTTGCTAGTTTAGAAAACAGTCTTACCTCAGGAAGTTTCAGTGTTATTGAAACAGTACTCTTTAATGGAAATCTATTGCTCATCAGAGGATTTTTACTAGATCTAACTGAAATACGATTAGGTGCTAAACTACCAGTTTTGCTTCAAATGTTTTGTGCTGTTTAAAAATCCCATTTGTCCTTCTAGAAACTGTGGCCTGGAACTTCTTTAGTGTTTAAATCCCTTTACTTTGCTTTTGGTGAGGTAAAGCAGTCATGGAGATTGCTTTTCTCGCTACCTGGAAAGGATTAGATGTAGATCTATCTGCAAAAAGGAAGACTGAGCTTCAGTGTCATATTTGTAGGTGTGTTGTGACTGGCTTAAAAATATCTGTCACTATCCTAATTGCATAAAAACGTGTTTAAAACTGTGTGCCTTGGCAGTTCTGTGTTCTTGGAAAAGAACAGAGTAATAATCTGACCTGAAAGAATGAACTTGCAGCAAAACTGGGTTGTCATGGAGCATGTTAAAGTGGCAGTGGAAGGTCCTTATTTAATTGGCATCATTATGGATCCAGAGCACAAAAAGTTTGCCCATTTTTTCATGTGCTGAACTCAATCAATCGAATTTTAAAAAGAATAGAGAGCAACTGTCTGTTCCTTGGTACAGACTTGTGTAAAGAAACTCTGACACTAGAAACACTCAGCTGCTGGCATCCCTCAGGAAAGGGCTGCAGTGGATAAAGACAGTCTGCTAATCTGAATATGTTTTCCCAGATGGCACCACAAACACCAGCAGACTCCTGGAAGGATTGCCAGGAGGAGAAAACCAACACACAGGTTGTTGTTGGAGAGAGGGGGGCATTACAAAGGGGAGATAGTGGGAGACACCATAGCTCAGTGCAGTCTGGGACAAGAGGAGCATTTACTGTGGAACTCACAATTCTTGAATCTGGGAAGGGTAATAAATGTATTGGAAATGGTGTGGAAACTTAGTAGAAAGGACAGCAAAAAGTAAAAGATTTGATAGCAAAAATGAAAGTATTTTGATAGCAAAAGTGATAGCAGGAGCAAAAGGCGAGTCGAAGAGTGCAGATATCTGTAAAGAAAATATCCTACAGGCTGAGCCAGGATGATGTGAGGGACGTCTTGTTTGCAGTGTTAATAACTTTTGATGCAGCTCAGATCTGCTCTTGGCTGGATGTGAAGTGTGGTTTGGCTGAGCAGGTTCCTGAAGTTTATGAAGGCTTCAAAGCTTTGAGTACAATAAGGTAAAGAATAGTTTAGTGTGTATGTTTGAGGAGGTCATGTGTGACTCCTGGATCAGTCCATCTGATACCTCTTATGGAAAAGTGAGGATCTAAGAGCCAAGCAGTTATATCTTGCATTTTAACCTACTGTACTAATTTCAGAGAATGTACAGATAAAACTGTGAGGATGGCAGGCCAGACTTGTGGGGTTGGCCTCATAAAAATGCTGTTTACATTGCACCTTTTCAAAAGGCATCAGCATTGTTTGAACAAAAGTAGATGATTTATGGTGCAGTGTCTAAAATGCCATGTCACTGTGGAAGAGATCCAGAAGTACACATTGCTCAGCACTGCTTGCCTTCCTAAAAAGCTCTCCTCTGTTCTGTGTGGTGCACAGACTTCTTGTTCAGCCTCTGCTTCTGAATCTGCCTCAGACTATGAAAAGTTCCACCTAAGCTAAAGGTGAAAGTGACTTATAACAGCAATTATATAACTTTTAGCAAATATTCCAGACTTATTTGCTGTCTGATTTTAATTACTCACAAATAGGAGGATTCTAACAATTCTAAACACTGGTGAAGCCACTGACTAAAATTCCAAAAAGAGCCATAATTCCAGTTTTCAGAAGGCATATTTTATTAGCAATTAAAAAGATCTTTTCAGTTTTATATTGTTTATGAAAATACATTTGCAGCATATGCTGACTATATAGTTTAATAGATTTCTTCCCTCTCAAGTGTGAACAGTATTTTTAACTCAAGAAATTCTAATACCGTCTTGCTTAGTACAGGAATTTGTCTTGTAGACAACCCTATCCAAAATTCCTAATATGCATTCATTATGTTGAAGCAGTGAAAAAATAAAACATGAAGTAGAAGCCTTACTTTTAGCTTTTTGTTGTTCCTAACTTTCTTTAGAAATTCATAGTTACAAGTCAGTTTAGTTAAAGGGACATGAGGATGGATTTTTTTCAGACTTTAAAATTGTAGCCCTTAATTTTCTGATGATTTAGATGACTTCCAACCATGGTAATACCAGGATAGCCATGGTGATCCCAGTAAGAGAAACCCCCCCAGACTGATTTGATAACAGAGCATTGCAGTGGTGATCTAAACAAGAGGGTGTTAATGAAATGTAGGATATGAACCAGCCCTAGCACTAAGCATCTTTCACAATGTCCAGCAAATGTTTTCCTGATCCTTGTACATGGAGATGAAGGGGACTTTTTTATCAGTACTGACATACTGGTCTCCAAATTGAGTTTTGCAGATGAAAATGCACAGTCGGGTGGCCAGCTTGCCAGCAGAAAAGCAATGTTTAAGAAAAGAAAAGTGTAATGTAAAAATGTTACTTGTTGGCTGCTGCATTTTGCTGAGTGCAGCACAAGGCGGTGCCAGGATGCAGCCTGGGAGAGGAGGAGGAGGAGGAGGAGGAGAGGGCAGATTGCCTCTGTAGCCTCCCCTGAAGTGACTCAAGCAGGATGGGATGTGTTTGAGGCTCTGCCTGGCATCTCCTGGGTGTATTTTCTGCTGCAGGCTGAGTGGTGCTGACTCTGTGCTCCTCAGAGCCAAGCTCAGTTCCTCGAAGGGGAGGAAAAAATTTACCTTTAGATGGTTCTGACGTGGACAGAACAACAGCAGCAGTGAAGACAACAAAGCTGGCAGCCTTCCAGTCTCCTGCCAAGTTACCCCTTTCTCCAACTCATCCACTGACAAAACACATCATCCAGGATGTTCATGATAACCTGTGAACAAATAAACACATCTGCAGCTTGCCAATACAGCAGGGCACTTTTATTCTACACGCCAATGAGCTACCTAAGATAATAAATGTCAGGTAAAACAACACTTTCTAGGTAAAAAGCACTTAAAAATCATGATGATAGACATTCATTTAGAAGAAATCATCTTGGGTCCTTATTCCTGAAATAAATACTTTATTCTGATGGATAAAATTATTTTCTTTGTTGGCTAAGTAGACTTTCTTAATTTATGGCAGTGGTGTGAGATACTCAGCAATTATTTGAGTGCAGACAAGGTCTGTTGGGTGCAGGGTGGCTTGTTCTTCTTTAACAGAGAATTTTAATTTTACTTTAATAGGAGTAATTGGAGCAGATGTGAAAGGACACAACCTTCCATGTGAGAACCAGCCCATTACGTCCCGAGTCGCTATGATCTGTGGAACATCTTCGTGCCACATGGGGGTAGGTTGTATGTGTCATCCTCATTGGTGCAGAATTTACTAACTTATGTTTTTGAAGGGAAAATTGACCTTTGTCCTTCTCACCCTGTTCTTTTTTCCTTGAATTTTTTTCTGGTAACTCTACCTTTGGATATTAATTATAAATTGCCGTGCATTTGCTATTAAGCAAGAACTTTAATAGTAGTAGAAATCAATACTGAAAAATGACATGGAAAGTAAAAACCACGATGCCAGAGTGGCTTAAAGAGCAGCCTGAAATCTGAGCCAAAGCCTGAGCCTGAGTTATCTGTGACAGGCCTATCACTAATGTGTTACAGAAGAGTGTCTTTGGAGAAGGAGTGCCCATCTTCAGTCACAGCCCTGCTCCCCCACCTCCTCCCTTAATCAATATAAATCCTTCTCCCTCTGAAAATTGCCATGGTCTATAGAATTATGAGACATATCATCACTAAAAAGAAAGAAAACCCCCAATAAGCAGTTTTCACTTTGCTAATTTTTCTCAGTGAATTAATACAAAAGCTTTCTCTGAGATTGCAATTAAAATTTAGTGTCTGCTTTTGAAATTTATACTGTTTTAAAATGTATGAGTCTGAGAGCATTCCATTTAGATAAGTACCCTTTTCTGCCACATTTTTTATTTAAAACTCATTTTGGTCTTAAATTTAGAATGATTAGAACTTGGATTTTTCCAAAAAGGAGCAAATGGCGCTGGGAGTGCTAGAGGTGTTGGAGAGGAATGACATGCTTCATGGAGAAATCTCCAGGAGAGAATAAGAAGGAGGCTGATAATAAAACATCAGGCTTAACAATAAGTTAAGTTGTCTCTGTAGTAACAGCATGAATCCATGGTGATCTTGAGCATGAATAAATGGCGATCATATCACGTGGATTGTCTTCAGCAAAGCATTTTAGCACGTGATTGAGTTTAAAGACATGAATAATCCTACTATTGTGAAGCAGAGCATTGAGCCTAAATCCCATGGACCAATTGGAATATATTTTGGTTCCTTCCTAAACAAAAGTTTCAAGCTTCAAACTCCATTATTCTTGGCTTGCTCTGTCTTTGAAAAATTGCACTGGTACCTGTCTGTCTGTCATAGGGCAGGTGGGGCACACTGAGAGAGGGAGTCACCCTTCAAGCCCTGCCACTGTTTCCATTATTTCCTGGTTTTTGATGGAGGTTTCTGCCCCTTCAGTAGAAGCTGTTTGGGTGAACTCTTGCTAACCTGTTTCATTTAGCTGAGTTAGTTTGAATTGTTAAAATGAGTTAATGGAGACATGGTGCTGGAGTGCAGTGAGCTGAGGAGCTCACAGGCAGCTTCCCCCAAAGGTCTAAGGGCAGTGTTGGGTAGCTGGCCCTGGGCCAGCTGGCTCTGGCTCATTCCTTTAGCACAACCAGCCCTGGAGGAGGACATGTGTGTGGTTTTTTATTAATGGTTGATATTTGTACATTGGTAAGTTCTAACATACACCCAGTGCACAACAGTAGATTGTTTGATTTCCCAAACTCGAGCATGGCACATCAATATTAACATGTTTTGTCTGCACTGTCCACAACTATGAGAGTTGTGGCTTCATTAAATATGCTAATGTAGCAAAAGGGCTGTGATAAAATCCATGTTGATGCTCTGTCATCAAAGCAACCCGAAATTGGAACACAGACTGCACGAGGCAGAACCTTTTAAGGCCTTTAATCACTTCAGTTCAAACTCAGGAATAGATGCTTGTGCAGCTTTTGCTAGATTTAAGTAGATTTTTACTTAAATCTACCTACTCAGCATTTTATAATCATTTCCTTAACTGCCTGCCTTCGCCCATATGCACAGGGAGGGGTATAACAAACTCTAGCCAGCAGACAATAAGTAAATTCTAAACTTCTCTGGATCTAATCTGTGAAAGGATTTTAGTTTTCTCTTCTTTTATCTATTACCTGAACAGGCTGCATGAAGTAAGCATGGAGCACACAGAGCAGTGGTATTTGTGTTTTAATGAGACCTATATGCAGCTGCATTTGGCCAAAATTAGCTGTTCCTTTTTTTAATTAGGGCTATAAAATGAAAGTATATTATACTTGTGTTTTGATAGAAATATATATTTTTCTCTCTCCGTGTGCACCAAGGGACCCTGAGGGCTACAGAGATTAATCATCGAGTTTAATTTAATGCAGTGGGAGAGAGACCTGTGTGGTCAGGCGGGCATTAAAAAGTGCCTTTGATGTGCCTCAGGTGCACTGAGCCCCAGTGAGCCAGCAACAATAATACCTTTGTGAGATGATCAGAGACGAGAGAGGGAGAAAATGGCCTGTGTGGAAACTCAAGGCCGTCCTTTGTTGTGGTTCTGGCAAACGAAGGAGCCAACTGTCAGGAGAAATTCAGCAAACAGAAAGCAGGGGGAAAGTACGGCTGGGTTTCTTTCAAGGGGCCATAACAGGAAACTGTTCAAAATCATCTGCAATGCCTTTCTTTTCCAGCCCTTCCTCCTCCTCTGCTCAGGGCAGGGGGACTGCTCTTGGTATCTGTGTGCTGGTACAGTAGTTCCATTCTCTAGACCAAGTACTCCATGAGTCACGGGACTTGAACACAGCATTCACTTTAAACTTTCAGAGAAACTGCTCCTCGACCCAGTTTTCATTACCTCCAGGACTCTAGAGATCTTAAACAAAAGACTTTGCTAATCATGCCTTTGATATTTTAGAAAGTACAAATGTGGAACCTAATTTTACTCATGGCTATAATAGCTTAATTTGTGGTGGAACTACCATTTTTGAGTGAGGATATGCTTTTGGAATTAACCACTGGCAGTTTGGGGTAAACAGAGGCACACAAAGAATTTCATGTTGCTGTTGAATAGCTCATGAAAGCAGCAAAATGCTTGTTGTAATTAGGTTATTGACCCCAGCCCAGGTCTGAGCTGTTGGTTGCTGAAAGTCACTGCCACCTCAGGGCTCATCCATTATCCATGAGGAAAAAGAAAAGAAAAGATGGTTTTCTGAATATTTTTGGACAGTTATGCATTTTACATGATTCTCTGCTGCCTCCTTTGCCCTAGCAAAAGACATGGGTAGAATTTGCATTTGGAATGGCAAATAGGCTGCTCTCTCACTTGTGAAGGATTGTTTTGGGGCTGGGATCCATCCCTGCAGGTTTGGTCTCTGTGCCCAAGGATATTCCCTGACTTTCCTGGGTGGGCTGCCACTGCCATGGTGCTTTGCAGGCAGGGGCTCTGAGCTCCAGCACCCACACTTGGCTTTGGAACTTTTAGGAGCCTTTTCCTCTGTAGCCATGGTGACTACACCAAATGTGTCAGTAGTTTTTCCCAGCAGAATCACAGCAGGTTTGAGGCATTGGAACAGGAGCTTGCCTCTTATTCCTAATTTGCAGTTTGTGTGGGTCTAACAGACATGCCCTAACTTCTGGGAATAAGGTAGTTGGTTTCCCTAAAAGCCTGTCCTCCTGCCAGTGTCTTGGGGTTTTATGGGGTACTTTAAAGGTTTTAAAAATCCTTTTTTTTTTTTTTTTTCCTGAAACATTTATGTGACTGGGAGGTTTTCAGGCACAGATTTCCCATGTCCCAATCCTGGACACAAGCATGCTTTTGCAGGGCAAAGTTGTACCATCATGAAAATATTTGTTGTTTTTGCTCCAACGCCTTTTGTGATTCCCAGCTGAAGAAAGTAGGCAGAGAAGCTTTCAATGGGAGCATGGTCTGGCCTAATTTTAGCTTATTAAGGGGGGGGAGTGTTAATTTGCTGGTATTTTGAGTCCCAAATGTACAAGGTTTTGTGTTCTGTTATCTCCAGGGTCTCTGATATTTTTTTCCTGTCTTCATTTCATGATATGGTCTGTGTTCTTCTTCAGTCATTCTTTCTTTATCAGTTCTCTGTACTCAACACCTCTTTTTGAGGATTGTCAAGGAATCTCTTCAAGTTTAGATGCAACCTCTTCTTTGGCATCTGTTTTTGTTACTTATGTGGCTCTTGGCATTGGGACTCACCTGGCTTGGTGCACAATTCTTGTTTTCGCTGGGTGATAACGTTCATGTGGTTTGAACTGTATACTTTAGTCATTTTTTTCAATTGGAGAGGCACAAGTAATTTTTCTTATACCTTTTCAGATTTAATGCATGATCTAAAACACAGAGCAACTATGTGAACATAAAATGAGCAGATCATTTTGCTGTCCCAATGTTTACTATGGATTATTTCAGGAAGAACATCCCATATTCTCTCTCTCACTAAGCCTGACTAGCCTTTGAGTGCTTTCTGCTAAAGGAACTCCAGCCCAATTTGCTTATTCTAAATTTGTTCATTTGATTCTCGTGATGACTGGCAAACAATAGAGCTTCTTTGCTCCACAATATCCGCCCGAGCTGCCAGCTTTGTTCACACAAATAGAGTGTTAAGCACGTTTCCACCCCCAGAGCATGCACAGTACGTGTCCTTTGCAGTACATCCTGGAGAGGAGACAGCAGAGACATGCTGGCTCAAAGTGTTCTCAGAGCCTGATCTCTAATCTCAGTGGGAGCCAGACCAGCAAGTGGATTCAGTGTATTTTGGCTCTGATACCGGAGTCTCCTCTTCGGAACATGCCACGTTGTTAAAGCAGCAGCCTTCGGGGTAATCGCTGCG